TTGTTTTGTTTTGTTTTTTTTTTGTTTTTTTTAATACTAATTTGTGCTAATACTAAAAAGGAAAAGGAATTATCCAAATTTTTAGCCATAAAAAGATTTTATTTACATATTGAATTTCTGCTGTATAATACCAAACATATTGTTATGAAGTTAAACGAAAATTCATTTGCACGCCTTATCAGTTTATGCTTTATCATTTGTTAGGAGTGTGATCCGTTTGCATGCCTTATCATTTGTTAAGAGTGTGATCCGTTTGCATGTCTTATCAGTCGTTGAAACCGTTGAAAGTACAAATCATTTTCCTATTTGATTAATCGTTGAGAATATGACAAAGATAAACTTTCTAGGTATATGAAACATATATCAAAACATGTTATTGTCATCAAATTATAAATGGTATTGTCTAAAAATTAGAACAATCACATCAAATTACAATGAACAAATCTAAAATGACAAATTTGTTTTTTGAAAATGTAAAATTTTCAAACTATTTATAATTCATTAATTGCATTTAATATATGAACCTTATCTGATAAATAAAATTCAGTATGTGGCGTTGTATGCCATCATAAATGTCAACGATATATGCCGAATTTGTGTGGCGTTAATCAAAAACAACTTTCACAAGCATTATTTGAAATTAAACGTGGATCACATGGTCAAACGAGGTAATTAATTAGATCTCTTTTTCTTTTCCTTTTTTCCTTTTTTGATTAATTCAAAACCCTAAAATTTTTGATAATTTTATTTTAATTTTATCAATTTTGTTCATTTTTGTAATTTTTTTTTTAATATCCTTTGTTTAATGTTTTAAAATCTTTTAAACTCGTTCATTTTATTTAAAAGAAAAAAAAAAACTTTCACACTTAATATCTTATCAATTTTATATGGTTGATAATGTTGATGTGATAAAAGTATGAAAGGATATTATTCCAGAAATTTTAAATAAAACGAAAAAAAAAACAATTAGATTTTATTCAATGGATCGATTTTGTACGGTTATCTTATTATTTCATACGGCAAATTTTATTTTAGAAATTGCTTACTTAAATCATTAAATAAATCCTTATAGTATCGAAATGATAATTTTGATTATTTTTGATAAATTAATTAGTAAAAATTTATTTGTAGTACACCGGCTGGTTATGGTGCAATGTCATTATCAGTAGGATCTAATGTACCAATGGAACAACGTAGCATTTCATCATCATCATCATCAAATGGTTCAGCATCCAGTGGTTATAAATTTCCGGATCGTTTTAAAGCATTTTTTCGCTATCACAATTATAACTTAGATAATCATAGTGATAATGATGAGTAAGTATTATTGAATTAATGTTATCAATTTTTACAAATAATTTTAAAATATTTTCTGTTTCTTTTTAGATTTTAAAATTTCGAATTTTCTTTTTTTTTTTTACAAATTCAAAAATAATCAAATAAAAAGCAAAATTTTTTCGTTTTTTAAGAAATTTAAAAATCAAATAAAAAGTAAAATAAAAATTAAAAAAAAAACCAATCAATTAATTAATATTTTATAGATATATTAATGCACCATGGAGTACAGCAGATGGTATTAAAAAATATGGATTACATCATTTTAATGTTTGTAAAGTACTTGGAAAAGGAAGTTTTGGGAAGGTTTGCTTTTTTTTTTTTTTTTCTTCTTTTATTTTCTATTTTTACTAATTTTGCTTGTTTAAATTCCTGAAATTTTAATGCAATTATTCCATTCATGGATTTAATTAACAAATTAATTAATTAACCAATTAGTTGATTGTTTTTTTTTTAATGCAAAAAAACTGTTTCATTGGTTTTTCTTTTTTTCTTTCAAATCTTTTTACATTTACTATATGTAAAAAATGATATTAAATATCAT